ATTTAAAAAAAAAAAAGAAATTTAATAGCAACAGCTTAAGAAAAAGACATTGACATAAAAATAACAATCAATGTGTGTCTTAAAATAAATGCTAATAGATGGATTACAGTGTTCTCTAAATTAGACAGGTTCTCGTTTGTGGCAGAAAAAAAAATCAGTTTTGTTATGTCAAAATTACTTGTTAATATACAAAGATAAAATATTTCTGGCTTGTCAGTTCTAATTTTTTTAAAGAAAGGATTCTCACTGAATAATTAACTTAATGTACTTATGAAAGCCCTACGTCTGCTACTATTTTTAACAAAAAGATTCCAGCCACGTCACATGGTATGTGCTAGGGAATGTCATTTCTACTAATATTAGGTTGTTTTTTCTTAATCAATAAATCAGCCTGCAAGAAGAATTTCTTGCAAGTCTGTCATTTATCAAGCACTTTGCTAGGTACTCTCAGGATTGAGAAAAAGAAGCTCAAACCATATTTGAGAAATACATATCAAAATGTTGGAAAACACAAAATATTTTATAACTCAATATTAGATTCCTTGATTTAAAAAATATAGCAACTGATGCTCAAGAAAGGAATGATAAAAAGGGCATTAGGGGTAGATTTTAATTTAAAAAAGTAAAAACAAGAGAAACATATCATCAGGGTTCATTGGCATTCAATTACAAGGCTGTTGTTTTAGAAATGTTAAGGTCCATGAAGAAAGCAAATTGCTCCCTCTCTCATGAACCTGGCATGGTCTCAGTCTAAAGTCCTGTAGCTGTAGAAATCCTCTTTTAAATCATATTTTACCTGACTCTTCCCCAAAGCACAAGCATACTGAATACTCAATATTGCAGTTAAGAAGAACCCTTTGGTTACTGAGCAACTTTTGCATAGCTCCTTTTTCCTAGGCAATCAAGCTTTGTACCTGACCTTGAGCTTCCAGGTGACAATGGGCGGGTCCAAGTCCCCTTTAAGAAGGCTCCTACCCCATACTGTAACCGTGTTCCACATCAACAGTACTTTCCAGTCTTCACACAGGTCTGATCTCCTTGGTTACCCACAGCCTCCTTGAGCGAGGTGGGTAAGGGAAATATTAGCATTTCTGTTGCACAAATGAACAAAATGCGCCTTTGAAAATGGCATCTACATAACAAATTTCTGAGCACCCTGACAGGCTCCCAGGGGGAAGATGGAGCAGAGAATAGAAGCACAAGGTCAGTGCGGTTCCCTGACTTCATCCCCTTCCCTCTGCCAACAGCTGATTAAATTAAAAAGTTTCAAGACTATTCTACTTGGGTCTCACCCCAACAGAACCCAACTCTCAATGTCAGGTACCCAGCATGCATGCTGAGGGATTAAATTTGTGCAGCTTACAAAGTGGAAGAGCTCATTCGCCCTGTTGTTTATAGAGATTAACTTGCTCTGCTTCCTTTACTGAAGACTATTCAGAGCTACAGTAGAGAAAAACCAATTCCGTTGTTGAAAAGATGTCTGCTCTCCTGTTTGAGGAGCTGAGTGATGACTGGTCTCCGAAGCTGTCTCAGGAACGAGGCCCCAGTTTTATCCCCTGGTTGCAGAGAATGAAACCATTCTTGAGGGCTCTGGCCAACCGTTGCAGTGGTTGCGGTTGATTTCATCATGCCTGCTGAGTTTCATTTTTACTTTGATTCATCTGAACTCATAGACCCATATAATCAAAATGCTAAAGAAAATCAGCCAGTTCCACTCAAGGCTGCTGCATTTCCTATACAGTGCTGTAAAATGCTGATGCCCTCATGATTTTTTGCCCAGACACATCCAAATGGAAGCCTCAAATATAAATGAAAATGAAATGTGACTGCTGATGGGTGCTCTGCTAAGATAAAAAGTAGGGGAAAGTGCAAGCCCCCCTCTTCAGCCACATGTTCCCACCTGGGAAGAAGCAAAAGAGCAATTTAGGGGACTCCCAGACCAAGAATGTGATAGACAGTCTTCAAATTTAGACAGGTGATCCCCTTCAGAGAGGGTTGCCAAATGTTCATGAAACAAAAGATTTCAGGTTTTGGAGGTAGAACTCTCACTCCTATTGCATGTAGCAGCTATAATTAATTGCAGGAATATAGTATTTGTTGGGTAATTGTTTTTTCTCAGTGGTCTGAAGTAAAGCTTCGCTAGCTCACCTCTAGGGACACAGAGACGTTAAACAATTCATTAGGAGCAAGTCTGCTGCGAAAGTAAGTTTTCAGTAGATCTGGGCAGAAGCAATTTAAGATTTCAGAGGCCGCGCCGGAAACCGAGAGCTGACAGGCAGAACACTCGAGTCACAGTGGAGGTTCAGGATGTAAATTCAATTTCTTGGAGTTGAAGAGGTGACTCAGAGGCAAAGAAAAAAGGGCAAAGCAGAGGATGTGCCCAAGTTCAGGAGCGCAGGGAGCTCAGAGCCACAGGAGAGCTGGGAGGAAAGAAAGAGGGTGATGGAGCTGGCTCCAAACTGTGGAAGACATTTGTTCCCTGGAAAAGTAACCACATGCGCCAAACTAAGAGAAAGGCGGTGCTCTTTGCTGCATGAATTTCACCCAGCAGGACCCTAACCTGTCGTTCCCTTGCTGGGAGAGAGAGCGTGGCACCCCTCCCCCGACCACCATCACACGCACACAAACAAGCTGTTAGTCCACAAATGAAATATTGCAATTGGGCAGGGAAGAGGTGTCTCTCTACGAGGGTCCCCAAGAGGCCACGCAGGCCACCCGACCTCTGCCAGCCACTATTTGCTGCCCACTAGGGTGGCATGTGAGGACAAGACTAGGAGACAGAGGTCTCAATAGGTGCTGGAGGAGGTGTCAGTGTGCTCCCAGGCAGCAGCTCCCAGGCTCAGAGGTTTATCTCCTTTTTACTTCGCTGCTGTGAGGATGAAAACATAAGGAAGGAAAAGGGCTCGGTGAGCTGATTCTATCAGATTCAGTGGGGTAGGATCACCATGGAAAACCACTTTCTCTCTCCTCTCCCTCCCTACCCTGGCTATGTACTAAGCCCTATTTACCTGGGCTTGGGCTGCACCTGGATGGCTTCTATTTTTTGTTTGTTTTGTTTTGTTTTTTACATCATTATGTGCTCTGCTTAGACTGGTCATAAACACACAAGTAACACCGCAGATTCCCTGCATATCTAACCAGATCGCCTTCAGCAACAGTGTCCTGAGAGGAAGCCCTGGATGCCTTTCCTTTCCCCACTTCATCCCGCTCAAGGCTGCCCTGCATATTTGCCTCAAAGCAAGAACAGAAAGCACAGCCTCTGGAGGCTGGGAGAGACTCAGAGGTCAGCCAGGGCAGACTCCTCATTGTATGGATGAGGCAGCCGCATCTGAGAGATTAAATGACTGACACAGGGTCTCCCAGCTGTTCCCGCAAAGCACGGGGAGAGAT